ACCATTCGAAGGACTGAACCGGGATCAGATTCACAGACTACCGCCCGGTACCAGGGAGTTTGCGATACAGCACGAAAAAGAATTAGCCACTGTTGTTGAGAACCTCCGCAAGACCAAGCATAGGATGATAGAACAGGCTAATAAGCACCGTCGCCCATCACAGTTTCAAGTAGGCGACTTAGTCTGGGTCAAGGCAAAAGAGTTTGCGCCTGAAGAAAACATCTCGCAGAAGTTACTGCCTGCATATAGAGGACCGTGGCCGGTTCTAGAAGTCCAGGGCGGACAGGATGGACCATATCGTTTGTTTTTTATGTCGTGGCCGGTTCTAGAATTCCACCGCGAGGAGCACAGAATTCCGAGCACCCCCCGCCCCCCCCACCAGGCAGCCCCGCCCTGCTCCATTGCAATGTCCGTGATTTTGTTTTTTTTTACCTTTGCTCTTGGCCCCCCCTGCGGGGGCTGCAGGCATCCGCTTGTGCTTTTTTATAAGACGCTATCTTATTAAAGACCACAGATTGGCATAATACTGACTCGCAATAGCCATGAATGGATGCAACCGGGAACCACCTTTAGGGAGAGTACCTCTTTGTTGGTGTGCTTATTTCTCGATCTCTTGCACTCGTAGCATTTTGGGATCAAAATCGTTCTATTTCAGCATAAAGATGCTTCCTTTATTTCGGTCCTGACTTCAGTTCTCTTCGGTTCCCTAATTTTTAACATGGTTGGATGACTTCAGTTCTCTGCATTTTGGGATCAGGAAGTCGTTCGTTTGGTCTCTGTGAAGGTGAAAAAGTGGGACTCCGTACCAGGACCAGATGCTGAGACACATGAACCCTCTCAACAACAGCATTGCAAGCATGTGCTTACACGTCTGACCGCTTCGTATTCGTTCTTGGCCGAATCGTTCTATTTCAGCATAAAAATGCTTTCTTTATTTCGGTCCTGACTTCAGTTCTCTTCGATTCCCTAATTTTTAACATGGTTGGATGACTTCAGTTCTCTGCATTTTGGGATCAGGAAGTCGTTCGTTTGGTCTCTGTGAAGGTGAAAAAATGAGACTCGGTACCAGGACCAGATGCTGAGACACATGAACCCTCTCAACAACAGCATTGCAAGCATGTGCTTACACGTCTGAGCGCTTCGTATTCGTTCTTGGCCGCCCATTGACCACCAAAATTGAGGAAATTAGTGCAACCCCAATATTACAGAATCACTGGCCACGATCAGGTCAAAAGCATGGCCGTTGGTTAGAAAGCCGTTGCTTGCACTTCCGAACACTTCATATTCCTTCTGCTCTTTCTTCTACTTCCTTTCCCTACAATACTTTCTAAAATACCCTTGTTTCATCATCACTTGTGCAGGAACAAAACCAGCACTAGATTTTACATTGACGGAGACAGCCTGCTAGCATTTCGAGTTGACAAACCCAAGACCATCGAAGAACTAGGTTGATGAGAAGCATCCTGAACAACTTTTGCCTCAGGGGCACATCGACCTTATTTGTCAAATTTAAAATCACAAATAAAAATAATATATTGTCACTCTTTGAACCGGACCGCAAAAGCGAAAACAAGAAGAAAGGAAGACAAAGCAAGTGACACATCCCACAGATAATTCAATTACCATCCCACAGAACATATTGTTCTTTTTTATTTTTTATTTTTTCTCAGGTTTCTTTTTGTCTTTTACCTTGGTTTCTTCTTTTTTATTTATTCATTTATCTCTTTACTTGGTTTCTTTTTCTATCTGTTTCTTCAAAATTTTATCTGTCAACCCCTCGGCAGATGGGACAACTACGGTGAGGATGACGGTGATGTTCACAGGGATACCCAAGGAGGGTTGCGCTAGCACAGCATTCAGCCGGACGGCTAGCACAAACCATCCCATCGAAACAATCCTGACAGAGGACATGTTGCCCACATGTCAAGAAGACAGCAGGACGTTCGTCACAGTGCGGCATCATGCAGTTCTGATAACGTCCTTGGGAACAGAAAGGACAACATACATCTGGGTGATTGGGATGTGCACAATGAGGAAATGTTAGACACCTTTCCGCACATATGGCGGCAGTCGCAATGGATTGATAATGGTGCTGACACAGATAATGCATTCCACAACCAAGACGCACCACGTCCCTATCCCGACAAATGTCGCACGAGAGACGCTCAACAATCCAGAGCAGTGTATGATTCGACAAACCTCGCAAGAATTCATTTATGTTGACAACCATCCCACAGTTTCCACTGGGCAGCTACATGAATGAGTGCCATATAATGCCCGGGTTTGTGCAAAATGCATGCAGAAATACGAGGACGGCCATTAAGGTTCTCGCCTGGCATCGGTATAATGCATAAGAAGGTGGCGACCGTGAAATGCTAACTGTAAGACATTTATAGTAAATCCTCCTGAGGTAGTATAATTACTATCCTCAGGGGGTAGACCATTATGGTCATACAACAACTCATTTTCAACAGCGTCAAGCTGATAAGCAATTGTAACAAATTGAGATACAGTATAACCTTGACGCTGA